TAATATAATTCAATATTTTTTTTTTTTACTTTTTAAGTATTTTTATTAATTTTAAAAGCAGTGAACTTAAATTACTTAAAATTACTTATAAAAAGCAATAAATACTTTGTACATAAAAATTAATAATTAATGAGTATTTATGTTTTTAATAAAAATACATAATTTTTATAAAGGTAAATTTACAATGAACCGCATTATTGCAGTTTATTTGTTTATATCATTAAAATTAGATTTAAAATCCATTTAATTACTAGAGAAAACTCCATATTCTCTTTATTAATTTGTTTTTCATTACTCTAGCAAATTCACTTAATGATAATTTAAAAAATTAAAAATGTAATTTATGGAAAGTAAATAAATCAGTTGGTAAATGTAGAAGATAAAATAGAAGAAAAAAATTGGATGCAGGACTATTACCAGCTTACCTACATGACAAATAAAGAGCACAAAAAGGAAAAAAAAAAAGTACTTATTGGGAATTATTAGAGTTAAAGATTTGTTAATAAAAGGAATTATTAACCTTTTTGAGAAAAAAATTAATAGTGAGTGGAAAATAAATAGACATGAAAGTACTAGATAAATGAAAAAAATAAGAATTGAATAGTGTGAAAAAAATATTCAAGTTATTTAAAAATAGAAGAAAAATTAATAAAAAATTTTTTCGTGGCAAATTATTATCTTTGAATTTTAAACACAAAATTTTATATTAACAGTAATAAAATTTTCGTGTTTGTAGTATTGTATAAATTATTTTGTATTTTGTTATTTATATTTGCTAATTCGCGAAAAGTGAATTTGAATTGTTGACAATTAATCATAACATAATAAGTAAAATATGTGTAATTTAAAACTATAATTAATAAAGATTTAAATTTTTAATAAAAATTAGGGATTTTTCTTAAAATAATTAAGTTCCTCTTAAAAACAATAAATGCTCAATGATGGAGACCATATGCCTTTCAATGGTTTAAAGTAATAAAAACAAATTTAAATTCTTTTGAATGGTAGAAGAAACTCTACATGCTCGTTCTTAATCTTTTTTTTAAATACTCTAGCAATGTAATGAATAGGAAATTAATAAACCATTAATTACATTCATTTAACTTATATTATGATTTATATTTATTAATTCAAATTTATTATGCTCAAATTAACTAGCATAGATAATTGACAAAATTCAAATTAAATTACATAAGTACTACGAAACACAAAAATTTTATTATAGTTAATATAAAATTTTCTTATTAAAATTTATACAAAAATACATCACAATAACTTTTTTTAGTCAATAACTTTTTTTTCTATTTTTCGATTACTAAATTCCTTTTAAAAAAGTAAAAATTTATTTTTTTGTGTATTTAAATTACAAAAATAAAAAAAACATTAATTAATTTTTTTCTTTTTTTTTTACTTAACTATTGCATGTTGGTTAATAAACTGCATTATTAACCTTTTTAAAATAAACAATTATAGTTGTATGGAAAATATATAGTTATACATGTAAATTCTAGATACAAAAAAAAAAAAAAAAGAAAAAAAAAATAAAATAAAAAAATAATTGTTAATTACTTTGTATTCTTTTTCTAATATTTAAATACAAAAAAAAAATATATTTTAATTTTTTTTGAAAAGATTAATTTTTCAGTTGAAATATTATTTTATTTATTTCTTATTCAATAACATTGCTAGAATATTGAACAACATACTAATAAAGTAAAGATAGAATTTTCTCTACTAATTTAATGAATTTATGTTACGTTTTAATGCTATAAATAAGTAAACTGCTTTATATATATAGTATTCCTAAATAAAAATTTATTGTTTTGACGAGACAATTATTTATTTTAATAAAAGTACTAAATTTTTAATAAAAATTTGAAACATCATTGATTATCGATATTAACTATATATATTTTATTTATATTGTTAAGTGTAATGTTTAAGAATTCAAATCCATTTTTCCGAAATTAAAAAAAAAAAAAAAAGTAACAGAATACAAAATAAACTACGCAATATTACTAACGCGAAAATTTTATGATCATTGTTATAGAATTTTCCTACATGAATTTAAAACGTAGTATACATGGTTAATAAAAGGCTTCATTAACCTTTTTGGCTATAAAAGGACTAGCTATGTGGAGAATACATAATTAGTTTTGCTAACTAAAAAAAAAAAAAAAAAAAAAAAAAAAAAAAAAAATTATTGGATTTTTTTTTTGAGAAATGTTTCTTTCGAAAAAGATAAAGATAAAAAAAAAAAAATAAAAAAAAAAGATTTAAATTAATTTTTTTTTTTTGAAAGGAGAAAAAAATCAGAGAGGGAGAGATTTTTTTTAAGAAGATAATGATATTTTTGTAAAGTGTTTAATTTGCATAATATTTATATTTTGAATTTATGAGAGAAAATTTTATACATGTGAAGATAAAATTTTCATGTAATTAATATGCATATAATTTATTTGCATTTTTAATAAGTATTTGTGTTTTGTTAATTCGATAGCAATATAAAATGATTGCTGATTATAACTCGTAATGAATAAACTAATAATTATAATCAATTAATAGTTAATGTTAAATAAGTGTTTAAATTTTTAATAAAATAAGGATTTATTTATTAAAGTAAATAAATACTTATTGAAGCAAAAGAATGCTGAACTAAGTAGTTTATGATTAAAGATCATTCGTTCAAAGCATATAAAAATATACATAAGTATAAGAAAATCGTAGAGTCATCTCTACATGCTCTTTATTAATTGGTTTGTTCAGTACTCTAGCAAAGTCTCCGAACACCCAGTTAATAAATCAGTACTCTACCAAAGTCACCGAAAATCCAGTTAATAAAACAATACTCTAGCAGAGTAACTGAACATCCAGTTAATAAAACAGTACTCTAGCAAAGTCACCGAATGCTCAGTTAATAAATGAATAACATAGATACTTTAATATAATAATCAAATGTTTCACAAGTTACAACTATTGAAAATTTTTTTTTTTATATTGTACTCTATTTCCTCTGAATGCCACTCAGTTTTCTTGACTTATAGTGAACATATTTAGCTCTATCTATATTGTTTATATGGGTTAATACGTTGCCCTATAAACAATACTATTGACCTTTTTAATAAAATATTTAGACGAATAAATTGAATAAAAACATTTCATTTTGTGCATGCTAATTCTCAAGGACAATATGATATAATAAATGTTTTCTCAAAAATAGTTATTCAAAAAGTATGAAAACAAAAAATATATGTATATACAACCTTACACATAAAGTGAGCGTACTTAAAAAAAAATAAATAAATAATAATGTTTTTTTTGTGTGGGTATTTACAATTGAAAAAAAATATATATTATGATGATATTTTTTTTATTACAAAAAAAAAATGTAATCTTAAAAAAAAAAATTACTTTTTCTCGTTTTTTTTTTGGAAGATAATGTTCAGACTACTATAGAATATATATTTTTATTTTAAACTAAAATGTAATATTAAGGAAATTACATTTTAGGGTGTTGCTTATATTAAAAAGAAACAATTAACTAATAAGTCTTATTTAATGTTTATTAATAAAAATAATGATTTTATATTAAAATTAAGTAGAGTTTACACTATATTTTCCTTATTAATTTATTTTTTTGACACGATAAATGTAATTTAACAACCATTAATAAATCAGAGCTATTAATAATATATTTTCCTTAGGAATATTATCTTATTTATAATAATTATAATAATTTTAATACTTCATGAACTGTCTTTTGGATAATTTAAGTTTCTATATCTCCAATACGTACAATATTCAAATTATTTTAATATCATGTAATATCTATGTTAAATGTAAGACTCTTTAATATTTTACATATTTTTACTTGTAAGAACAACTTCAACATATAATATTAAAAAAATATAAATCATAAAAAATGCACTTATATTAAATTTACGATTATTTTTAAGAGAAAAATTAGTGTTAAAATATTAAAAATGATAATATTTATACATACCACTTTTTATTAATAATACATCAAAGATTTTAACAAAATAAATTTAAAAAATAAAAATTTTTATTAAAATTCTACGTTAATATTTACAAAGATTTCTTAAAAAAATTTAACCTTTTAAGAAAAATTTTATATTAAAAAAGGACAATTGTTGAATTCATTTATACTATATAATTGAGTTACCTAGATTTTCGATAAGTAGAATGAAAAATAAAAAATTGTGATATAAATATATAAAACTAAAAATAAAAAAGAAAATAAACAAATCGTAATAATAATCAACACTTATCAAATAAATATATAAAGGCAAAAAAAAAAAAAAATAAAATAATTTTTTTTTATATTTAATTAGAAGTTTATAATAATATATATGCAAAAAGTTATTTTATAATTCTGTTTTATCTTTAATTATAGATATTTTATTTATCAAAATAAAAATGGATTCATTTGAATTTTATAAGAAAAAATCTATTATATTTATCTAATGATATATTTTTATATTCATTAAGTAACATTTATATTAAATTTGAAACTGATAAGTATTACTCGTAAAAAAGTAAATTTATAAAAATGTATTTTTATAATAAATGAAGTAAATTTGTCAAAAAATAAAACTTTTTTTAAAAAATATTTTTTACTGTAAATATATGCTTAAAAAAATAGTATATTTTTTTTTTTTTTAAATTATAATTAATTTATTTGACTTTTAAATGTGCTTTTTATAAGATTTGTTATTATTATTTCTTTAAAGTAAATACCTATTTTCACTTTTACTTTTGAATTTAAGTACTTAATAAATTTTTCTTATTTTTTTTCAAATAGTTGAAAAAGTAATTTTTTTTAAAAAAGAGTTATAACAAAAAATAAATATATACATTGATTGCATAAATATTTATAAATAATATAAATAAAAAAAAAAAAAGAATTAAGATAAAAAAAAGTACATTAGAAAAATCAAAAAAGTTATATATATAAGAAAAATATTCACACATAAAAATTACTTTTATATTAAGTCAAAAATTGTGACATATGTATTACACTGCATGAAAAATACATGCGTGTAAAAATTTTTAATTTATAGAGTTTTTTTTTCTTTTTTTGATGGAGATATATCTTTATAATATACGAAGATTTATATTTATAATTCATAATATACCGTATATAAAATAATTTAAAGTTCGACATAATTCATAGAGATTAGTAATTTAGAAAAAAAATATTAAAAAAATCCTTTAACATTAAATGTATATCATTTATAAATTTTATGTGCATTAAATTAAAAATATTTAATTTTTTACATAAATTAAAGATAAATAAAATTTTTTAAAAATTTTTTAAAATAACCTTATCAGATTTATTATCTTTTTTATTTATTTGTAAATTAACCTTCTTATTTTATTTTTTAAAGATTTAAAAATATTATTTTTATCAAAAGTATCCATAATATCATGTGTAATAATATATAATTAGAAATAACATTTCATATATGAAAATAATTTTCTATTTAAAAAATTAAGGAAATTAATATAGGTTATAATAATATCTAAATTAATATTAAAAATCCATAATTTTGTATTATTGAAAATTGAAAAAAATTTTCATCTGAATTAACAAATTCCATTTCAATATTATTCTATAAACATATTAACATGAAAACATTAACTTTATATTTAACAATTACTACATTACTACTTTTAATTTGGATGTATCAATGTTTTTATGACGTAAGTTAAAATTTTTACAAAAAATATACATATAGATATGTTTTATTTCTAATTATTATTAACATTCCATTTTATTTACTATTCTAATAAAAGAAACATCCTTAAAAAAATTTTTATTTAATCCATAGTGTGATTCCTATAAAACATTGATTGACCAAAATATATTGCAAACAAAAAATAAGTTAAAATATGAAAGAGCATTAACAGAGGGTGATATTGCAGGAAAAATGCAAACTTACTCGGAAGGATGCCTAGAAGAATGTCCATTAGATTATGAAAAAAACAAATGGGAAAATCCGTTTCAATATGAGAACCCGTACGATAGATGGCAGAAATACACTACTCCATTATTGAGGAAGCTATTTAATAAGGAAACAAGTAAAATGGATCCTATATGGAGAGACCAAAAATGGAATAATGAATGGAATAAAATTTCAGCTAATAAGGTTAATGATCTATCTTCAATATTTCATCGAAGTGATATTTCAGAAGAAAAAAAAAAAGAATTAATTCGTAGTGTTAAGGAAGAACTCCACATAGAATTTTGGAATTTTTTAAAAGAATGTAAGAAAGAGGTGAGAGACAATAAAACACAATCCGCATCTAAGAAAGAGATGATAGACAATGAAACAGAATCCGAATCTGAATCTGAATCCGAATCTATGAGAGAGATGGGAGACAATAAAACAGAATCAGAATCAATGAAAGAGGCGAGAGAAAATAGAACAGAATCTAAATTTAAGAAAGAAATGAGAGAAAATAAAACAGAATCGGAATCTAAGAAAGAGCAAGAAAAAAATAAAATAAAAAATAAGAAATCAAATATTTTCAAATTTCTTTTTAAGAGGTTTGATAACCATTAAGAGAATAAAAATTAATTGTTTTTACAGAGAATATATGATGATTCATGCACAAGATCTAGTTAAAAAAAAGAGAAATTGAAGTTTTTTCTAAATTTGTTTTATGGAAATATATTTTATTCTTTAAAAAAAAAAAATTAAAAGAGAAAAATTTTTTAGAAAAAAAAATTTCATGAAAATATTTTTAAATTTTTAAGAATAATTTTTTCATTAAGTAATATTTATATAATTAAATTTTTTTTTTATTATTTAAGTATTTTTATTATTTTCCAAAGTAATGAACTTAAATTACTGAAAATTACTTATAAAAAGCAATAAATATTTTGTCCTTAAAAATTAATAATTAATGAGAATATATGTTTTTAATAAAAATACATAATTTTTATCAAAGTAAATTCACAATGAACCGCATTGTTTCAGTTTACTTGTTTATATAATTAAAATTAGATTTAAAATTCATTTAATTACTAGAGAAAACTCCATATTCTCTTTAATAATATGTTTTTCATTACTATAGTGAATTCATTGAATGATAATTTAATAAATTAAAAACGTAAATTATGGAATGTAAATAAATCAGGTAATAAATATAGAGGATAAAATAGAAGAAAAAAAGTTGGATGCAAAATAATTACCAGCTTACCTATATGACAAAAAAAGGACACAAAAAGGAAATAAAAAGTCTTTATTGAGAATTATTAGAGTTAAAATTTGTTAATAAAAGGAATTATTAACCTTTTTGAGAAGAAAATTAATAGTGAATGGAAAATAAATAGACATGAAAGTACTAGATAAATGATAAAAAAAAGAATTGAATAATGTGAAAAAAATATTCATTTTATTAAAAAATAGAAAAAAAATTGATAAAAAGTTTTTTCGTGGCAAATTTTTATCTTCGAATTTTGAAGAGAAAATTTTATATTAACTATAATGAAATTTTCGCGTTTGTAGTATTGTATAACTTATTTTGTATTTTGTTATTTATATATGCTAATTCGCGAGAAGTGAATTTGATTTTTTAAACATTAATCATAACATTATATGTAATATATATGTGATTTAAAACTATAATTAATAAACATTTAAATTTTTAATAAAATAGGGATTTTTATTAAAATAATTAAATGCCTCATAAAAGCAATAAATGTTCAATAAAGGAAACCATACACATTTCAATGGTTTATAGTATTAAAAACAAATTTAAATTAATTTAAATGGTAGAAGAAACTCTACATGCTCGTTGTTAATCCTTTTTTTCAATACTCTACCAAAGTGGTTAATAAAAGAATTCATTAACCTTTTTGGATATAAAAGGACTAGCTATGTGGAGAATACATAGTTAGTTGTGCTAACTAAAAAAAAAAAAAAAAAAAAAAAATTATTGGAATTTTTTTTGAGAAATGTTTCTTTTGAAAAAGATAAAGATAAAAAAATAAAATAAAAAAAAAAGATTTAATTTTTTTTTTTAAAGGGAGAAGAGAATCAGAGAGAGAGATTTTTTTTTACAAAAGATAATGATATTTTTGTAAAGCGTTTAATTTGCATAATATTCATATTTTTAATTTGTGAGAGAACATTTTATACATTTGACAATAAAATTTTCACGTAATTAATATTCATATAATTAATTTGTATTTTTACTAATTGTTTATGTTTGTTAATTCAACAGCAATATGTTTAAATTGCCGAACATAACTCATAACAAAGAAATAAGCAATTTACATTTAATTAATAGTCATTATTCAATAAGGATTTAAATTTTTAATAAAAATAGGGATATTTATTAAAGTAAATAAATGGCTATTGAAATCAGAGAATGCTGAACGAAGTAGATCACATAATTAAGAATCACTCGTTCAAAGCATATAAAAATATATATAAATATATGAAAATCGTAGAGGCAACACTGCATTCTCTTTATCAATTAGTTTGTTCAGTAATCTAGCAGAGTCACCGAACACCCAGTTAATAAATCAATACTATATATCCTTTAGTATAATAATCAAATGATTCACAAGTTGTAACTAATGAAAATAATTTTTTTTATATTGTGTTCTATTTCCGCTGAATATCACTAAGTTTTCTTGACGTATAATGAACATATTTATATTTATCTATATTGTTTATATTGGTTAATACATTACTCTATAAACAATACTATTGACCTTTTTTGTATAATATTTAGACAAATAAACAGAATAAAAACATTTTATTTTGTGCATGTTAATTCGCAAGGACAATATGATATCATAAATATCTTCTCAAAAATAGTTATTCAAAAAGTATGTAAACAAAAAAAAAAAGTACATACATACTTGCACTTAATGTGAGCATACTTAAAATATTTAAATAATAATATTTTTTTTTTTTTGTGTGGGTATTTACAATTAAAAAAAAATATATATTATGATTATATATTTTTTATTCCAAAAAAAAAATGTAATCTTAAAAAAAAAAATTAGTTTTCCTTCTTTTTTTTTTTTTTTTTGTGGATAATGTGCAGACTACTATGGAATGTATATTTTTATTTTAAGCTAAAATGTAATATTAAGGAAATTACATTTTAGACTGTTGCATACATCAAAGAAAAATTAATTAACTAATTAGCCATATTTAATGCTTATTAATAAAAATAAAAATTTTATATTAAAATTAATTAGAGTTTACACTACATATTCCTAATTAATTTATTTGTTTGAAACGAGAAAAGTAATTTAACAACCATTAATAAATCAGAACTATAAATAATTTCTTTTCCTTAGGAATATTATCCTTTTTATAATAATTATAATACTTCATCAACTGTTATTTAGATAACTTAAGTTTCTATATCTCCAATACACACAGTATTCAAATTATTTTAATATTATGCAATATCTGTTTTAAATATAAGATACTTTTATATTTTAATATTTTTACTAGCAAGAACAACTTCTACATAAAGTATTAAAAAAATATAAATTATAAAAAATGCACTTTTATTAAATTTATGATTATTTCTTACAGAAAAACTACTGTTAAAATATTAAAAATTATAGTATTTATACACACTACTTTTTATTAATAATACGTCAATGATTTTAATAAATTAAATTTAAAAAATAAAAATTCTTACTAAAATTCTGCATTAATATTTACAAAGGTATCTTATAAAATTTAACCTTTCAAGAAAAAAGCTATATAACGAAAGGACAATACTTGAATTCATTTATACTATACAAATGAGTTACCTAAATTTCGTAAGTAAAATGAAAAATAAAAAAGTGTGCTATAAATATATAATACTAGAAATAAAAAAGAAAATAAACACATCGTAATAATAATCAACACTTATCAAATAAATATATAAAGGCAAAAAAAAAAAAAAAATAAAATAATTTTTTTTTATACTTAATTAGAAGATTATAATAATATATATGCAAAAAGTTATGTTATAATTCTGTTTTATCTTTATTTATTGATATTTTTTATATCACAATAAAAATGCATTCTTTTGAATTTTATAAGAAAAAATCTATTATATTTAACTAAAGATATATTTTTATATTGAGTAAATAACATTTATATTAAATATGAAACTGATAAATATTACCCGTAAAAAAGTAAATTTATAAAAATGCATTTTTAGAATAAATTAAGTAACTTTGTCAAAAAAAATAATTTTTTTTAAAAAATATTTTTTACTTTAAATATATGATTAAAAAAATAGTTTTTTTTTTTTTTTTTGTTTAAATTGTAATTAATTTATTTGACTTCAAAATGTGCTTTTTATAAGATTTGTTATTATAATTTCTTTAAAGCAAATACCTATTTTAACTTTTTCTTTTTAATTTAATTACTTAATAAATTTTTCTTATTTTTTTTCAAATAGTTGAAAAAGTAATTTTTTTAAAAAATAGTTATAACAAAAAATATATATATACATATATTGTATAAATATTTATCAATAATAAAAATAAAAAAAAAAAGAATTAAGATAAAAAAAAGTATATTAGAAAAATCAAAAATGTTATATTTAAATGAAAAATATTCGCAAACAAAAATTAGTTTTTTATTAAGTGAAAAATTGTGACAACTGTAGTATATTGCATGACAAATACATGCGTATAAAAATTTTTAATTTATAGATTTTCTTTTTCATTTTTTGATGGAGATATATCTCTATAATTTACAAAGATTCATATATATAAGTCATAATATACTGTATATAAAATAATTTGAAGTTCGACATAATTCACAGAAATTGGTAGTTTAGAAACTAAAAATAAAAAAAATCGTTTAATATTAAATGTATATCATTTATAATTTTTATGAGCATTAATTTGAAAATATTTAATTTTTTTACATACTTTAAAGATAAATAAAATGTTCTTAAAGTAACATTATTCGAATTATTATCTTTTTTATCTATTCGTAAATTAACATTCTTATTTTATTTTTTAAAGAAATAAGAATATTATTCTTATCTAAAGTAACCATAATATCATATGTAATAATAAAAAATTAGAAATTACATTTCATATATGAAAAAAATTTTCTATTTTAAAAATTTAAGAAATTAATATAAGTTATAATAATATTTAAATTAATATTACAAATCCATAATCTAGTTATATTGAAAATTGAAACAATTTTAAATCTGAATTAACAACTTCAACTTGAATATTATTATATAAATATATTAATATGAAAACGTTAACTTTATATTTAAAAATTACTACATTCCTTCTTTTAATTTGGATGTATGAATGTTTTTATAACGTAAGTTAAAATTTTTACAAAAAATATACATATAGATATATTTTATTTCTAATTATTTTAAACATACCATTTGATTTACTATTCTAGCAAAAGAAACATTCTACTAAAAAAATTTTTATTTAATCCATAGTGTGATTCCTATAAAACATTGATTGATAAAAATATATTGCAAATAAAAAATGTGTTAAAATATGAAAGAGTATTAACAGAGGGTGACATAGCAGGAGAAAAACAAACTAACGCTGAAGGATGCCAAGAAGAATGTCCATTAGATAATGAAAAAAACAAATGTAATAATCCAGTTCAATACAAGAATCAGTGCGATCCACATCATGGAGTCAAAACTCCATCATTGTGGGAGAGTTTTGATAAAAAAGCAAAAGAAATAGACCCTAAATTGAGAGAGCAAGAATTGAATATTGAATTGAGAAAAATTTCACATGAAAACGTTGATCCATTTTCAAAAATTTATCAACGACACAATCCTGATGAAGGAAGACAAATATTAATTCTTAGCGTTACGAAAGATCACTCAGACTTAAAGAAATTATTAGACGAATGCAGAAAAGAGAAGAGAGACAATAAAGCAGAATCAGAATGTAAGAAAGAAATCGAAGAAAATAAAACAGAATTGGAATCTAAGAAATTGATGATAGACAATAAAACAGAATTGGAATCTATGAAAGAGATGAAAGAAAATAAAACAGAATCCGAATCTAAGAATGATATGAGAGACAATATAACAGAATTCGAATGGATGAATGAGATGATAAAAAATGAAACGGAATGCGAATCTGAACCTGAGAATGAGATGAGAGAAAATAAAAAAAAAAATAAGAAATCAAATATTTTGAAATTTCTTTTTTGTTGTTGTGATAACCATTAAGAGAATAAAAATTAATGTTTTAACAGAGAATATAGGATTATTCATGCACAGGATCTAGTTAAAAAAAAGAAAAATTAATATATTTTATAAATTTTTTTTATAGAGATGTATTTTATTTTTTAAAAAGTAAAAAAATTAAAAGAGAAAAATTTTTTAGAAAAAAAAAAAATTTCATGAAAATATTTTTTAATTTTTAAGAATAAAATTTTCATTAAATGATATTAATATAAATAAAATTTTTTTTTATTGTATAAGTATTTTTATTATTTTTAAAAGCAGTGAACTTAAATTACTAAAAATTACTTATAAAAAACAATAAATATTTTGTAATTAAAAATTAATAATTAATGTGAATATATGTTTTTAATAAAAATACATAATTTTTATCAAAGTAAATTCACAATGAACCACATTATTTCAGTTTATTTGTTTATATAATTAAAATTATATTTAAAACTTGTTTAATTACTAGAGAAAACTCCATATTCTCTTTAATAATTTGTTTTTCATTACTCTAGCAAATTGATTGAATGATAATTTAATAAATTAAAAATATAAATTATGTAAAGTAAATAAATCAGGTAGTAAATGTAGAGGATAATATAGAAGAAAAAAAGTTGGATGAAGAACTATTACCAGCTAACCAACATGGCAAAAAAAGAACACAAAAAGGAAAAAAAAAAAAAAGTCTTAATTGAGAATTATTAGAGTTGAAGATTTATTAATAAAAGGAATTATTAACCTTTTTGAGAAAAAAATTAATAGTTATATGGAAAATAAATAGACATGAAAGTACTAGATAAATGAAAAAAAATAGAATTGAATAGTGTGAAAAAAATATTCAAGTTATTAGAAAATGGAAGAAAAATTGATAAAAAGTTTTTTCGTGGAAAATTTTTATCTTCGAATTTTAAAGAGAAAATTTTATATTAACAATAATAAAATTTTTGTGTTTGTAGTATTTTATAACTTATTTTGTGTTTTGTTATTTATATTTGTTAATTCGCGAGAAGTGAATTTGAATTGTTAAACATTAATCATAACATTATAAGTAATATATATGTGATTTAAAACTATAATTGATAAAGATTTAAATTTTTATAAGAATAGGGAATTTTATTAAAATAATTAAATCCCTCTTAAAAACAATAAATGCTCAATGAAGGAGACCATATACATTTCAATGGTTTATAGTATTAAAAATATATTTAAATTCATTTAAATGGTAGAAGAAACTCTACATACTTGTTGTTAATCCTTTTTTTCAATACTCAAGCAAAGTAATGAATAGGAAACTAATATACCATTAATTACATTTATTTTACTTATATTATGATTTATATTCAACAGTTCAAATTTATTGCGCTCAAATTAACAAGCATAAATAATTGATAAAATTCAAATTAAATCACGTAAGTACTGCAAAACACAAAAATTTTATTATAGTTAATATAAAATTTTCTCATTTTAATTTAAACAAAAATACACCACAATAAGCTTATTTAGTCAATAACTTTTACTTCTATTTTTTGACCACTAAATTCCTTTTAAAAAAAGTAAAAATTTATTTTTTTGTGTATTTAAATTACAAAAATAAAAAAAACATTAATTAATTTTTTTCTTTTTTTTTTACTTAACTATTATATGTTGGTTAATAAAGTGTATTATTAAACTTTTTGAAAATAAACGATAATAGTTGTATGGAAAAAATATAGTTATACATGCAATTTCTAGATGCAAAAAAAAAAAATAAAAAAAAAAAAAAATTAATTGTTAATTTCTTTATTTTCATTTTCTAATTTTTAAATACAAAAAAAAAAAATATATTTATTTTTTTTTTGAAATGATTAATTTTTCAGTTGAATTATTAATTTGTTTATTTCTTATTCAATAATTTTGATAGAGTATTGTTTTATTAACTGGGTGTTCGGTGACTTTTCTAAAGTACTGAACAAACAAATTAATAAAGAACATATCGTGTTGCCTCTACGGTTTTTATGTATGTATATATATTTTTATATACTTTGAACGAGTAATTCTTAATTATGTGATTAGTTAATAAGATGCTTTATTAACCTTTTTGGAAAATAAATGGACTAGTTAAATGAAGAATACGAAGTTGGTCATGCATACACAATAAAAAAAAAATGATTATCAATTTTTTCTTGTTTGTACTTTTTTTAAAAGAAAAAGTACAAAGACCGTTAGGAAAAAAAATTGATAAAAAAAGAAAATGCCAATACTGTCAGTAAAAAAATTGATAAAAAAAAAATCAGTTGGAAAAAGATTTGTCACGAATAAAAAAATAAATAAAAAAAAAAAAAAAAAGAAAAAAGAATTTTTTAGGGAATGAAATATGTTTTGTGATGAATTTTGTAAAAGAAAATTTTATACATATAAAATAAAATTTTCATATGAAAAAATATTTATATAATTTTTTTTGTATTGTCTATAATTTCTTAACTTTGTGGTTAATAAAAGGCTTCATTAAACTATTTCGTAATGAAAAAGATTAGCTATATGAAAAATAAGTATTGATTGTGCACACGCGAAAAAAAAAAAAAAAAAAAAAAAAAAAATTATTGAATATTTTTTTTAATTTTTTTTTCTTTTAATAAATGGAGATACTTAAAAAAAAAAAATATTTATTTTTTATAAATGATTTAATTCAGAAGAAAAAGAATGGTAAAATAAAAATTGAGAGTAAGATTTAGTACCAACAAAAATGAGATCCTAAATAGATAATAAAGTTAACATAAGAGAGCTTAATTTGCATAATATTTATATTTTTAATTTGTGAGAGAAAATTTTATACATATGATAATAAAATTTCTACGTAATTAATATTCATATAATTAATATGCATTTTTACTAATTGTTTATGTTATTTAATTCAACAACAATATATTTAAATTGCTGAACATAACTCATAACAAAGAAATAAATAAATTACAATTAAATTATAATAAATATTCAATAAGGATTTTTATTAAAGTAAATAAATGCCTATTGAAATCAGAGAATGCTGAATGAAGTAGATTACATAAATAAGGATCAATCGTTCAAAGCATATAAAAATATATATAAATACATCAAAATCATAGAGGTAACTCTACATATTCTTTATTAACTTGTTTGTTCGTTATTCTAGCAAAGTCACCGAACATCCAGTTAATAAATCAGTACTCTAGCAAAGTCACCGAACACCCAGTTAATAAACCAATACCATAGACCTTTAGTATAATAATCAAATGTTTCACAAGTTGTAACTATTGGAAATAATTTTTTTTATTTCGTTCTCTATTTCCGCTGAATGTCACTAAGTTTTCTTGACGTATAGTGAACATATTTAGCTTTATCTATATTGTTTATATTGGTTAATACATTGCTCTATAAACAATAATATTGACCTTTTTTGTATAATATTTAGACTAACAAATAGAATAAAAACATTTTATTTTGTGCATGCTAATTCGTAAGGACAACCTGATATCATAAATGTTTTATCTAAAATAGTTATTCAAAAAGCATGTAAAATAAAAAAATATATATATACATACTTGCACTTTAAGAGAGTGCACTTAAAAAAAAATATATATTATGATGATATTTTTCTTATTACAAAAAAAAAATGTAATCTTAAAAAAAAAAATTAGTTTTTTTTTTTTTTTTTTTTGGAGGATAAGGTACAGACTACTATAGAATGTATATTTTTATTTTAAGCTAAAATGTAATATTAAGGAAATTACATTTTAGAGTGTTGCTTATACTAAAAAAAAATAATCAACTAAACAATATTTAATGTTTATTAATAATAATAAAAATTCTATATTAAAATTAATTAGAGTTTACACTACATATTCCTAATTAATTTATTTGTTTGACACGAGAAAAGTAAATTAACAGCCATCAATAAATCATAGATATAAATAATTTGTTTTCCTTCAGAATATTATCTTATTTATAATAATTATAATAATTTTAATACTTCATGAACTGTCTTTTGGATAATTTAAGTTTCTATATCTCCAATACGTACAATATTCAAATTATTTTAATATCATGTAATATCTATGTTAAATGTAAGACTCTTTAATATTTTACATATTTTTACTTGTAAGAACAACTTCAACATATAATATTAAAAAAATATAAATCATAAAAAATGCACTTATATTAAATTTACGATTATTTTTAAGAGAAAAATTAGTGTTAAAATATTAAAAATGATAATATTTAAACATACCACTTTTTATTAATAATACATCAAAGATTTTAACAAAATAAATTTAAAAAATAAAAATTTTTATTAAAATTCTACGTTAATATTTACAAAGATTTCTTAAAAAAATTTAACCTTTTAAGAAAAATTTTATATTAAAAAAGGACAATTGTTGAATTCATTTATACTATATAAATGAGTTACCTAAATTGTTTGGTAAGAAAATGAAAAATAAAAAATTGTGGTATAAATATATACAACTAAAAATAAAAATAAAATAAACACATCGTAATAGTAATCAACACTTATCAAATAAATATATAAAGGCAAAAAAAAAAAAAAATAATTTTTTTTTATATTTAATTAGAGATTATAATAATATATATACAAAATGTTATTTTATAATTCTGTTTTATCATTATTTATTGATATTTTTTATATCACTATAAAAATGAATTCTTTTGAATTTTATAAGAAAAAACCTATAATATTTAACTAAAGATATATTTTTATATTCAGTAAATAACATTTACATTAATTTTGAAACTTATAAATGTTACTAGAAAAAAAGTAAATTTATAAAAATTTATTTTTGGAATAAATTAAGTAACTATGTCAAAAAATAAAACTTTTTTCAAAAAAATATTTTTTACTGTAAAAATATGATTAAAAAAATAGTATTTTTTTTTTTAAATTATAATTAATTTATTTGACTGCAAAATGTGCTTTTTATAAATTTGTTATTATAATTTCATTAAAGTAAATATCTATTTTCTCTTTTTTTTTTGAATTTAAGTACTTAATAAATTTTTCTTATTTTTTTTCAAATAGTTAAAAAAGTAATTTTTTTTAAACAATAGTTATAATAAAAAATAAATATATACATATATTGTATAAACATTTATCAATAATAAAATTAAAAAAAAAAGAAATAAGATAAAAAAAATATATTAGAAAAATAAAAAAAGTTATATTTAAAAGAAAAATATACACAAACAAAAATTAGTTTTATATTAAGTTAAAAATTGTGAAAAATGTAGAATACTGCATGAAAAATAAATGCGTATAAAAATTTTTAATTTATAGAGTTTTTTTTTCTTTTTTTGATGGACATATATCTACATAATATACGAAGATTTATATTTATAAATCATAATATACCGTATATAAAGTAATTTAATGTTCGACATAATTCATAGAGATTGATAGTTTAGAAGAAAAAAATAAAAAAAATTCTTTAACATTAAATGTAAACATTTATAATTTTTATTTGCATTAAATTAAAAACATTTAATTTCTTTACCTAATTTAAAGATAAATAAAATTTTAATAAAATATTTTTCAAATAACTTTATCCGATTTATTAAATTTTTTATTTATTTGTAAATTAACATTCTTATTTTATTTTTTAAAGAATTGAGAATATCATTCCTATCTAAAGTAATAATAACATCATATGTAATAATAAAAAATTAGAAATTACATTTCTCATATGAAAATAATTTTCTATTTTATAAATATAAGAAATTAATATAAGATATAATAATATCAAAATTAATATTACAAATCCATAATTTAGTATTATTCAAAATTGAAACAATTTTGCACCTGAATTAACATCTTCTACTTCATTATTATTATATAAATATATTAATATGAAAACGTTAATTTTATTTTTAAATATTACTACATTCCTTCTTTTAATTTGGATATGTCAATGTTTTTATAATGTAAGTTAAAATTTTTTCAAAAAATATACAAATATATATATTTTATTTCTAATTATTTTAAACATACCATTTGATTTACTATTCTAGCAAAAGAAACATTCTACTAAAAAAATTTTTATTTAATCCATAGTGTGATTCCTATAAAACATTGATTGATAAATATATATTGCAAACAAAAAATGAGTTAAAATATGAAAGAACATTAACAGAGGGTGATATAGCAGCATAAAAGCAATCTTACGCTGAAGGATGCCCAGAAGAGTGTCCGTTAGATAATAAAAAGAGCACATGGGAAAATCCGGATATATACAAGAATCCGTACAATTATTGGAATAAGGTCATTGCTCCACAAATGCGGGAGCTATTTAATAAAGAAACAAGGGGAATGGACCCTATATTGAAAGAAGAAAAATGGAATAATGAATGGAATAAAATTTCAGCTAACCAAGTTAAAGATCTATTATCAATATCTCATCGACATGATATTTCAGAAAAAGAAAAAGTAAAATTAATTGATAATGCTATGGATGAACTTCTATTAGAATTTGAGATATTTTTATACGAATGTGTGAATGAGATGTTAAAAATATATATAACAGAAACCGAATGTAGGAAAGAGATGAGAGAGCATAAAAGAGAATCCAAATCTAAGAATGAGATGGGAGACAATAAAGAAGAATCCAAATCTAAGAAAGAGATCAGAGACAATAAAACAAAATCCGAATCTATGGAAGAGATGAGATACAATAAAAGAGAATCCGAATCTACGAAAGAGATGAGAGACAATAAAACAAAATCCGAATCTATGGAAGAGATGATAGACAATAAAACAAAATCCGAATATACGAAAGAGATGAGAGACAATAAAACAGAATCCGAATCTAAGAAAGAGATGAGAGAAAATAAAACAGAATCGGAATCTAAGAAAGAGCAGGAAAAAAATAAAATAAAAAAAAAGAAATCAAATATTTTCAAATTTCTTTTTAATAGGTTTATTAACCATTAAAGGAATAAAAATTAATGGTTTAACAGAGAATGTAGGATTATTCATGAGAAAGATCCAGTTAAAACATAGAAAAATTAATATTTTGTCTAAATTTTTTTGATAGAGATATATTTTATTTTTTAAAAAAAAAAAGAAATTAAAAGAGAAAATTTTTTTAGAAAGAAAAAATTTCATGAGAATAGTTTTTAAGTTTTAAGAATAAAATTTTCGTTAAGTGATATAAATATAATTAAATTTTTTTTTTTATTATTTATGTATTTTTATTATTTTTCGAAGCAGTGAACTTAAATTACTGAAAATTACTTATAAAAAGCAATAAATATTTTGTACTTAAAAATTAACAATCAATGAGAATATATGTTTTTAATAAAAATACATAATTTTTATCAAAGTAAATTCACAATGGAACCGCATTGTTGCAGTTTACTTATTTATTTCATTAATATTAGATTTAAAATCCATTTAATTACTAGAGAAAACTCCATAAAAAAAAAAAAAAAAAATAAAATAATAAAATAAAATAAAAAATAACATACAATGAAATAAGATAAAATTATAAAAACAAATAAATCAAATGTAATGTGTATGCTGTATTTTTAGATTAAAATGTCATTGCTGTATAATGAAAAAACAAAAAAAAAAAAAAAACAAAATGATATTTTAACTTTCAAATTTCAGTTATTCTATGGTTTTATTTTTTATCTTATAGATTTATTACTGATTCATATTTAATATAATGTACAATATTTTGAAATATTAAAACTTTTTGAAAAAAAAAAATAAAGATCATATATTTACAATAAATGAATAAAGGAATGTTTAAAGAATAGTATTATTCTTAAGTAATTAAAATACATAAGAAATATAAAATTAAATATAGTTCTATAAAAATTTCTTTAATGATATTTTATTATTTAAAATACTTTTCCTTATTTGCTTCAAGTGTAAAATATTATTTCTTAATTTTCTTTTGATTGTTTAGAGATTTTTTAAATTGTTTTTATATTAAAATATTAATTTTGTTTCTAATTTAATTATGTATTAAATCAGGAAAAAAATTAATCCTTGGTATATATAAAAATTTCAAAAATATTCATTTGTATAATAAGAGAATTATTAAATACAACTTCTAATGCCAAATTATTTTTATAAATTAAGGTCTCTTGAAGATCCTTTATTTTTATTTTTTTTTTATTATTATTAAAATATGCATTATGTGTAAAAGAAAATAGTACTAAAATAATACTTTTTCGTTTTGAAAAAAAAAAAAAAAAAAAAAATTTAAAAGGAAAGTGATCAACAGTTTCCTTTTAATAATGAGAAAACAAGTTAATACAGAGTATGTAGCACGATATATTAATTTTAAATGTTACAAAATTATATTGATGCNGCATTGTTGCAGTTTACTTATTTATTTCATTAATATTAGATTTAAAATCCATTTAATTACTAGAGAAAACTCCATATTCTCTTTAATAATTTCTTCTTCATTACTCTAGCAAATTCATTGAATGATAATTTAATAAATTAAAAATGTATATTATGGAAAGTAAATAAATCAGGTAATAAATGTAGAGGATAAAATAGAAAAAAAAAATTTGGATGCAGAATTATTACCAGCTGGTTTATTAACTGGATGTTCGGTGACGTTGTGATTTATAAACTGGGTTTTCGTGGACTTTACTCTAGTACTGAACAATCAAATTAATAAAGAGCATGTAGAGATGCCTCTACGATTTTGGTGTATTTATATATACTTTTATATACTTTGAACGAGTTATTCTTAATTATGTGATCTACTTCGTTCAGAATTCTTTTATTTCAATAGGTATTTATTTACTTTAATAAAAATCCGTATTGTATATTGATTATGATTTAATTGTTATTTATTTATTTCTTTGTTATGAGTTATGTTCAGCAATTTAAATATATTGCTGTATAATTAACAACCATAATCAATTAGTAAAAATGCATATAAATTATATGAATATTAATTGCGTTAAATTTTATTGTCATATGTATAAAATTTTCTCTCAAAAATTCAAAATATAAATATTATTCAAATTAAACCCTTTTATAAACATATTATTATCTTTTGTAAAAAAAAATCCCTCTCTCCATAAAACTCTTCTCTTCCAAAAAAAAAAAAATAAATAAATCTTTTTTTATTTTTTTTTTTTTTTTTTTATCTTTATCTTCATCTTTTTCAAAAGAAAAATATCTCAAAAAAAAATTCCAATAATTTTTTTTTCTTTTTTTTTTTTTTTTCGTCAGCACAACGTACTAGGTATTCTTCATATAGCTAGTCCTCTTTATAGCCAAGCAAGCTAATGAAGCCTTTTATTAACTAGTACTCTAGCAAAGTCACCGAATACCTAGTTAATAAATCAATACCATAGATCCTTTAGAATAATAATCAAATGTTTCACAAGTTGTAACTAATGAAAATAATTTTTTTTATATTGTGTTCTATTTCCGCTGAATATCACTAAGTTTTCTTGACATATAATGAACATATTTATATTTATCTATATTGTTTATATTGGTTAATACATTGCTCTATAAACAATACTATTGACCTTTCTTGTATAATATTTGGACTAACAAATAAAATAAAAACATTTAATTTTGTGCATGTTAATTCTAAAGGACAATTTGCTATCATAAATGTTTTCTATAAAATAGTTATTCAAAAAGTATGTAAACAAAAAATATATGTACATACATACTTGCACTTAAAGTAAGCGTACTTAAAATATTTAAATAATAATATTTTTTTTGTGTGGGTATTTACAATTAAAAAAAAATATATGTTATGATTATATTTTTTTCATTACTAAAAAAAAATGTAATCTTAAAAAAAAAAATTAGTTTTCCTTTTTTTTTTTTTTTGCAGGATAATGTGCAGACTACTATGGAATGTATATTTTTATATTAAGCTAAAATGTAATATTAAGGAAATTACATTTTAGACTGTTGCATACATTAAAGAAAAATTAATTATCTAATTAGCCATATTTAATGTTTATTAATAAAAATAAAAATTTTGTATTAAAATTAAGTAGAGTTTACACCGCATATTCCTTATTAATTTATTTCTTTGACACAAGAAAAGTAATTTAACAACCATTAATTAATCATAGCTATAAATAATTTCTTTTCCTTAGGAATATTATCCTTTTTATAATAATTATAATAATTTTAATACTTCATGAACTGTTATTTGGATAATTTAAGTTTCTATATCTCCAATACACACAGTATTCAAATTATTTTAATATTATGCAATATCTGTTTTAAATATAAGATACTTTTATATTCTACATATTTTTACTGGTAAGAACAATTTCTACATATAATATTAAAAAATTATAAATCATACAAAATGTACTTTTATTAAATTTATAATTATTTCTTAGAGCAAAATTAGCATTAAAATATTAAAAATAATAGTATATATACACACTACTTTTTATTAATAATACGTCAAAGATTCTAACAAATTAAATTAAAAAAAATAAAAATTCTTATTAAAATTCCGCATTAATATTTACAAAGGTATCTTATAAAATTTAACCTTTTATGAAAAAAGTTATATTACGAAGGGACAATTCTTGAATTCATTTATACTATATAAGTGAGTTACGTAAATTTTTCGGTAAGTAAAATGAAAAATAAAAATTGTACTATAAATATATGAAACTAAAAGTAAAAAAAAAAAAATAAAAACATCTTAATAATTATCAACACTTATCAAATAAATATATAAAGGCGAAAAAAAAAAAAAAAATAAAATAATTTTTTTTATATTTAATTATAAGATTATAGTAATATATATGTAAAAATTTATTTTATAATTCTATTTTATCTTTATTTATTGATATTTTTTATATCACAATAAAAATGTATTCTTTTAAATTTTATAAGAAAAAATCTATTATATTTAACTAAAGATATATTTTTATATTCAGTAAATAACATTTATATTAATTTTAAAACTAATAAATATTACTCGTAAAAAAGTAAATTTATAAAAATGTATTTTTAGAATAAATTAAGTAACTTTGTCAAAAAAAATAATTTTTTTTAAAAAATAGTTTTTACTTTAAATATATGATTAAAAAAATAGTTTTTTTTTTTTTTTTTTTAAATTGTAATTAATTTATTTGATTTCAAAATGTGCTTTTCATAAGATTTGTTATTATAATTTCTTTAAAGTAAATACCTATTTTAACTTTTTCTTTTTAATTTAAGTACTTAATAAATTTTTCTTATTTTTTTTCAAATAGTTGAAAAAGTAATTTTTTTAAAAAATAGATATAACAAAAAATATATATATACATATAATGTATAAATATTTATCAATAATAAAAATAAAAAAAAAAAGAATTAAGATAAAAAAAAGTATATTAGAAAAATCAAAAATGTTATATTTAAAAGAAAAATATTCGCAAACAAAAATTAGTTTTTTATTAAGTGAAAAATTGTGACAACTGTAGTATACTGCATGACAAATACATGCGTATAAAAATTTTTAATTTATGGATTTTTTTTTTCTTTTTTTGACGGAGATATATCTATATAATATATGAAGATTTATATTTATAAATTATAATATACTGCATATAAAATAATTTAAAGTTCGACATAATTCACAGAATTTGGTAGTTTAGAATATATAAATATAAAAAATTCGTTTAATATTAAATGTATATCACTTATAATTTTTATGTGAATTAAATTAAAAATATTTAATTTTTTACATAACTTAAAGATAAATAAAACTTTAATAAAATATTTTTAAAATAACATTATCCAATTTATTATATTTTTTAGCTATTCTTAAATTAACATTCTTATTTTATTTTTTAAAGATTTAAGAATATTATTTGTATTTAAAGTAACCATAATATCATAAGTAATAATAAAAAATTAGAAATTACATTTCTCATATAAAAATAATTTCATATTTTATAAATTTTAGAAAATAATATAAGTTATAACAATATCTAAATTAATATTACAAATCCATAATTTAGTATTATTGAAAATTGAAACAATTTTACACCTGAATTAACAACTTCCACTTCAATATTATTCAATAAATATATTAATATGAAAACGTTAACTTTATATTCAAAAATTACTACATTCCTTCTTTTAATATGGATGTATCAATGTTTTTATAACGTAAGTTAAAATTTTTACAAAAAATATACATATAGATATATTTTATATCTAATTCTTTTTAACATTCTATTTAATTTTCTATTCTAACAAAAGAAACATTCTTTTAAAAAATTTTTATTTAATCCATAGTGTGATTACTATAAAACATGGACTGATAAAAATATATTGCAAACAAAACATGAGTTAAAATATGAAAGAGTATTAACAGAGGGTGACATAGCAGATGAAAACCAATCTAAAGCTGAAGGATGTCTAGAGGAATGCCCATCATATAATAAAAAAAAAAAAAAAAAAAATCGATTTCAATACCAGAATCCATCTCATGGAGTCACAACTCCATCATTGTGGGAGAGTTTTGATAAAAAAGCAAAAGAAATGGACTCTAATTTGAGAGACCATGAATTGAATATTAAATGGAATGATGTTTCACGTGACAATGTTATTAATCTATCTTCAAAAATTTATCAACGAAATATTCCAGGTGAAGGAAGACAAATATTAATTCTTAGTGATACGAAAGATCACTCAAACTTAAAGAAATTATTAGACGAATTGAAGAAAGAGATAAGAGACAATAAAACAGAATTCGAATCTATGAAAGAGATGAGAAACAATAAAACAGAATCCGAATCTAAAAAAGAGATGAGAGGATATATGACATTTTACGAATTTATGAAAGAGAAGATATACAATAAAACAGAACACTAATCTATGAATGAAATGATAGACAATAAAACAGAATCCGAATCTATGAAAGAGATGAGAAACAATAAAACAGAATCCGAATCTAAGAATGAAATGACAGAAAATAAAAAAAAAAAAAGAAATCAAATATTTTGAAATTTCCTTTTTGTAGGTGTGATAACCATTGAGAGAATAAAAATTAATATTTTAACAGAAAATATAGGATTATTCATACACAGGATCTAGTTAAAAAAGAGAAAAATTAATATATTTTATAAATCTTTTTTATAGAGATTTATTTTATTTTTTTAAAAGAAAAAAAATTAAAAGAGAAAAATTTTTTAGAAAAAAAAAGTTTCATGAGAATATTTTTAAATTTTTAAGAATAATTTTTTCATTAATTAATATTAATATAATTAAATTTTTTTTTTTATTATTTAAGTATTTTTATTATTTTTCAAACAAATGAACTTAAATTACTGAAAATTACTTATAAAAAGCAATAAATATTTTGTACTTAAAAATTAATAATTAATGAGAATATATGTTTTTAATAAAAATACATAATTTTTATCAAAGTAAATTCACAATGAACCGCATTGTTGCAGTTTACTTGTTTATATCATTAAAATTAGATTTAAAATTCATTTAATTACTAGAGAAAATTCCATATTCTTTTTAATAATATGTTTTTCATTACTATAGTAAATTCATTGAATGATAATTTAATAAATTAAAAATGTAAATTAAGGAAAGTAAATAAATCAGGTAGTAAATGTAGAGGATAAAATAGAAGAAAAAAAGTTTGATATAAAATTATTACGAGCTTATCTACGTGACAAAAAAAGGACACAAAAAAGAAAAAAAAAGTCTTTATTGAGAATTATTAGAGTTAATGATGTGTTAAATAAAAGGAATTATTAGCCTTTTTTAGAAAAAAATTAATAGCTATATTGAAAATAATAGACATGTGATTTATTAACTGGGTGTTCGGTGACTTCATAGAGTTCTGAACAAACCAATTAATAAAGAGCATGCAGATGTGTCTCTACGATTTTGTTGTATTTATATATATTTTTATATACTTTGAACGAGTGATTCTTAATTATATGATATACTTCGTTCAGCATTCTTTGGTTTCAATAGGTATTTATTTACTTTAATAAAAAATCCCTATTTTTAATAATAATTTAAATCCTTATTGAAAATTGATTATTATTTAATTGTAATTTATTCATTTCTTTGTTATGAGTTATGTTCAGCAATTTAAATATATTGTTGTTGAATTAACAAACATAAACAATTTGTAAAAATGAAAATAAATAATATGAATATTAATTACGTGAATATTTTATTGACATTTCTAGAGTATTGAACAGATATATTAATAAAGAGCTTTTATAGTTTCCTCTACTAATTTAGTGAATTTAAAAATAATTTTTCAATTCTATGAACTACAAAAATCTTTTATATATAGTCTACTTCAATGAACATTCCATGTTTTTAAAAAATATTAATTAACATTAATAAAAAACTCTGCTTTTATTAAAAATTTAATTCCTAATTGAACATTAACTATTAATTCATATATATGATTTATAATGTTATGAATAATGTTTAGGAACTCAAATCCGCTGCCTTCAAGTTAGCAAACATAGGCAATTAATGAGACATATTAAATTATATAAATATTACAAATATAAAAATTTTATTATTATGTATTGGTGGTTTATTAACTGGGTGTTCGGCTACTCTTATAGAGCATCGAACAAACAAATTAATAAAGAGCATGTAGAGTTGACTCTACCGTTTTGATGTATTTGTATATATTTTTAAATGCTTTGAACGAGTGATTCTTAATTATGTGATCTACTTCGTTCAGAATTCTTTAATTTCAATAGGTATTTATTTACTTTAACAAAAATCTTTATTTTTATTAAAAATTTAAATCCTTATTTAATATTGAATATTGACTATTAATTAAATGTAAATAATTTGCTTCTTTGTTATGAGTTATGTTAAACAATTTATATATATTGCTGTTGAATTAACAAACATAAACAATTAGTAAAAGTGCAAATTAATTATATGAATATTAATTACGTGAAAATTTTATTGGTATATATGTGTAAAATTTTCTCTTACAAAATTCATTAAAATCATACTTTGTTTTCCAAAAAAAAAAAAAATATTTTTTTTTTTATTTTTATTTACTGGTAACAAATATTTTTTCAATTGATTTTTTTTTTATGAATTTTTTTTTTTCTATCCATCTTTATTTCTTTTTTTATAAAAACAAAAACAAAAAAATTGATCATTTTTTTTTTTTTTTTTTTGTCTGTGCATTATGAACTATGTATTTTCATATAAATAGTTTTTTTATTTTCCAAAAAGGTTAATAAAGCCCTTTATTAACCATTTACAGAATGATTTTTTTTTTTTTTTTTTTTTTTCTAGAAATATATTAATTTCTTTTTAGTTTTAGCATATTAAATAGAAAAAAAATTACAGTATAATTTTTTTCATATTCTTTTAAAATAATAACATTTAAAATAAGGAAAACAAAAATTAGATATACATTAATCATAAAAAAAAAAAAAAAATGCAGAATTATATTCCATATGAAAAAGTTAAAATGAAATTATTAGATAAAGATAAAAATTAATTAAAAATTTATAAAAAAAAAAAAAAAAATAAGAAAAACTAATTTTTTTCATTATAGAAAATTGATAGCCTTTTTTTTCTTTTCATTAATATTTAATTTTTATTAACTGTAATTAATTTTAGAAAAAAGATACAAGGGTTAAATAGTTAATTTATTCTTATGATTTACTACAAATTTATAATCAAATAATTCTATTTTTTTTTTGTCTTTTCTTTTTTTTGTAATAAAAATTATATAATAAAAAAAAATAGATAAATGTTACATTTTATTAAAAAATAAGAGTATATATAACAAAATATAAAAATCTATGAAATGGTAAGAAATTACGAAATATATTGTTAGAAAAAAAAAAAAAAAAAAAAAAAAAAAAAATTTTTTTAAAAAAAAAAAAACAAAAAACATGTGGAGGTGGTTTGTCAGGGCTTCACACATATTCTTTGTCTAAAGGAGCCTCATTACTGGCCTCTGAAGAGACAAGGGAGGTGGAGAAGGATGACAAGGTTTGCATTAATTGCACAGCTATCTGTTGTTGCAGG